CAGGGGGCGGCCGGCTCTGCATGGCCCCGGCTGCTGACATGACTTCTTTGCCACTCGGTGTTAAAGTGGAGGATTCCGCCTTCGGCCCGTCGGCGGGGGCAGGTGGGGGCCCGGCCTCCAGCGCCGTCATGGGCGCCGACGAGGAGGGTGGCAAGCCCAAAGCCGCCCCTTCGCTGCTGCCCTTCAGCGTGGAGGCGCTCATGGCCGACCACCGGAAGCCCGGGGCCAAGGAGAGCGCCCTGGCTGCGCCCGAGGGCGCGGCGGCGGCGGGTGGCTTGGCGCAGCCTCTGGGTGCCCGTGCGGGCCCCCTGGGCACCCCGGATGCGCCCGCCTCGCCGCGGCCGCTAGGCCCCTTCTCGGTGGGAGGACTCCTCAAGCTGCCCGAGGAGGCGCTGGTCAAAGCCGAGAGCCCGGAGAAGCCGGAAAGGACCCCGTGGATGCAGAGTCCCCGATTCTCCCCGCCTCCGGCCCGTGAGTAGCCACCGCAGGCGGGAGGGAGGGCGGGCGGGCTGCGGGGCCCGGGGCGCCGCGCCTGCCTGTCGCCAGGTTGGGCTACCTGAGGCAGCATCCTGGAGCCCGCTGCGGATCGAGAGGGAAGGCCAGGTGGGCACGTCTGTCCCCGCACCCCCTTCCTCCACCCCCCGGAAGGGGGACCCAAGTCTTCCTGACCGGGCGACGCTTTGCTCTTGGAAAGGCACTGTCTCTTTCTCTGCTGCCCTATATGACCCCAGGCCCTGTAACTTGGCCTTTACCCAAAGCGCTTGCTGAGAGATGCGGGTCTGTCCTATTGCAAGTTTCGCTTTCTAAGAGCTGACTCTCTCTCCTCTCTTGTAGAGTATTTCTTTCCCACGAGGTACTCCAGCTTTTGCAAATCATCCCCTCACTGCCTTCCAGTTTGGGGCTGAAGTTTGGTGCTGTGGGCGAATGGATGAATGGGGGTTCCTGGGCTCCAGGGGGGGGGCATTTGTTGGGTGCACCACCTCCAGTTCTGCCTGAAGCTTCCCCAACTTCTTGGACCAGCTGGTAAAGCAGACTCCAGCCACCCAAGTCGCGTCAGGGGGTTGTACGGAGGCCTGGCGCCGGGGCTCCGCTGCGTGGAGAGCCCTGTTCGGAGATATTTCTGAACCACGGGAAATTCCCAAGTTTTCCTCGTTTCCTCTGATTATTCGGCTGGGCATAATAGCCGCTGAAATCAATGGTGTGCTGCCGAAGAGTGATTTTTATCTGGGGAGTAAACGTCTTTGAATGGGCAGCCCCTCCCTGGGCCTAACGTCCCCAGAAGGTAGCCTGGCGCTTGGCTGTCCTGCCAAACGGGGTGACTGTTGGCAGTTGCCTCCTGCTCCTGGTGTGACCCGTCTGTCCAGAGCTAAGAGCTTCCAGGACCAGAAAGGGGAAGAAGAGGAATGTGAACACTCAGGAGAGATTTCATACGACCGACGGTCTGGGATCTTTAGGGGATTGCAGCAGATGATGGGGTGGTAGAAGGCTGGTTTTGTTTTGTTTTCTTTTAGACACACAAGAATGAAAAATGTAGAGGTTGGAAAAAACCCGCTTGGGGAAACAGCCTCCTTGCGAATTTCCTTTCTTGGAGGGGAGGACTTACTGGGCAGGCAGAGGGTCTCGCCCTCTCCCTCCCCCCCCCCCCCCCCCCCCCCCCCCCCCAAACAACAACTTGGGCATCCAGGCAGGGCCTTGGGCAGTTGTCCTGGGAAACGATGGCTCCACTTTCTACCTTGAGAAGCCGATCTGCCTGGCTGGAGTGGAGCGCCCTCCGTCTGCCTGGCCACACTCAGGAGCAAGCTCCCAAATTGTTTTTGTAATCAAGAGGAAAAACTTGGGGGCGGCCCGCAGGGTCCTTATGGCTCAGCCCTAGGCCAAGAGCCACTGACCAGAGAGCATGGCTGGGGAAGAAGCTCCATTAGAAATTAAGCGTTCCCTTCTGCGCAGAGAGAGCTCTAATGGTTCAAACCCGGCGCCTGCGGGAGCGAGCTGGGACAGGCACCTCGACCTGTGGAGCGGAGCGGTATTCATGGAACTGGGAGTCCAATCTCTGGATTCAGCCACAGGGGCATAGCTCAGCTCTGAGCACTGGGCGGCCAACACCGACATTTCCTCAACACATTCAATTAAACGTGCCTGGGCACTGGGCCGCGGACTCTACCTTGTTAACATCCGTCTCCCGTTCTAGGCCACCGAGTCTGGGTCATGGGTCACCTCTCCCCTGGAAGCTGTTTGTTCCGTCACAAAAATAGGCACCAACATCTACCTGCCTCACCCAGAGCCTGGCGTGTAGGCACTGGGAACATGGTGGGACTGGTATTGTTACTTTCTGGGAAGATCTGACTCCAGAGCCCTCTTAACCCTCTTCTCTCTCGGCCCCCTAGGGCGGCTGAGCCCCCCGGCCTGCACCCTACGCAAGCACAAGACCAACCGCAAACCGCGGACGCCCTTCACAACGGCGCAGCTGCTGGCGCTGGAGCGCAAATTCCGCCAGAAGCAGTATCTCTCCATCGCGGAGCGCGCCGAGTTCTCTAGCTCGCTCAGCCTCACGGAGACACAGGTGAAGATTTGGTTCCAGAACCGCCGCGCCAAGGCCAAGAGACTGCAGGAGGCCGAGCTAGAGAAGCTGAAGATGGCCGCCAAGCCCATGCTGCCACCCGCCGCCTTTGGCCTGTCCTTCCCGCTCGGCGGTCCCGCAGCCGTCGCTGCGGCCGCTGGCGCCTCCCTCTACGGAGCGTCTGGCCCCTTCCAGCGTGCCACGCTGCCCGTGGCTCCAGTGGGACTCTACACGGCCCATGTGGGCTACAGCATGTACCACCTGACATAGAGGGTCTGCGGAGTGCCAGCCGGGCCCTGCCAGCGCGCTCCTGGCTCAGCACCTTCTCAGTCCGACCTTCGAACTCCACACGGACCCGGGTTCTCCATGGCGGCTGCCCTCCTGTTTCTTGCAGCTCGGATTCTCTGCCGCCTCCAAATGACTGGCAGGATCCCCCGTGTTCTGGTGGATTCGTCCAACCCCCCAGTTTTACACCTGGAGGAACTAAGGCCACAGGGGCTAAGGAGTTTATCCCGGGCTCCCTGGAGAAGGCATAGTTGAACCCTAGGACTAGAGACCCTGCTTGTTGGGGCATCCCTGTCCCTTTGCCCCCAAGCCCGCCCAGAGAAATATATGTGACAATGTTGGAAAGGAGGGCAGATGGAGAGAAAGAAAAAGAAGAATTTGCTGTGGGTGATGCTGGCTCTCAACTTGTATGGGAATTTCACCAGTGACACACTTGTGCTTTTTTTGGGGGGGACACACACAAATATATTGCAAAGATAGGGAGGGCAGACATCTTCCCTCAGCAACAACAGGAAGAAGAAGGGGGGAGGAAATAAAAAACATGGAACAAAACCGGGCAAACCCAACTTTTATTATTTAATAGTACATTTGTGTGGCTTTGAAAGACCCCTTTGGAAGGGACTGTGTACTATGTAATATACTGTATATTTGAAATTTTATTATCATTTATATCATAGCTATATTTGTTAAATAAATTAATTTTAAGCTACAAAGAAACGCTTTCTGGACTGAATTCGCTACTTTTTTATTTACAGCCTCCCTCCCCCACCCCCCCAGAGTCCCGCCTCTCAGGGATAGTTGTTTTTTCTGGGAAAAGGATAGCATTTAGGCCAGCACCTTTCAAAGAGGACACTGGTTCGACTGGAGGGAAAGGGAGGTGGGCACTGCCAGGAATGTCTTCTCAGGACACAAACACACGCGGGACAGATCTCCATTCGCAAAGTCAAGTGGAGAATTGAAGCAATTACCCAGGATAATTAGGCTCAATTTTCCAATTCACTTTAAGCCGAAATGCACACTTGATCAGGCGACCCTGAACGGGCTCTCTTTTTCTCTCTCCCCTTTTAACCTGTCTCCGAACACAAAGTGAATCACCCAAATGGGTTAATGACTGCAGACAGCTCTCAGAGACAGCTCCCACCCCCGCAAAACCTATTTTTCCCACAAGAGGCCAGGTTAGGGGCGGGGGAGACCCTGAGTTCAGGCGATTCCTCTGCTTCTTTAAATCATCCGTGAGGACCGTGTAGACGGCCGCAGCCGGCATTTGTGGAACTAATTTTGAGATGTCAGAGTGGCTGCCTTCAAAGTGTGAACTCCTGAGAAAGTTCCAGAACCCCCACCCCCACCCCCAGCAAGCACATGTTCCCGCATCCGGAGGTGTGGTGTTTGTCCAAACCTTCACATGCCGATTTTTAAATTCTCGGAGTTCATTGAAGGTCATGATTATGGGTGAATATAAAATCATTACTATCAAGCTCTTAAATTTAGCCTTTTTTCGGGGGTGGGGCGTGTTGAAGATGGAAAATGACCTCTTAGAAAAGGCTGCTACTTTGGCAGCCTGTGACAGGCAGCTCGCTTATCTTGCCGAGGGGCTCTTCGTATCTGCCACCCCTTCTGCCCCAGCATAGGCCGGCGCCTACGAAGTCCAAGGATCAGGGTCCCATGCAGCTCTCCAGTGGCGAACTGGTCCAGGCAGGCAACCATTAAATGCAGGGGTTTAGAACCCACTGTCTACACCGCGTTGGACTTAGGACTGGGGTCGTCCTTTCCCAAATTAGAACCCGAAGCGCTGGGGGGAAACCGAGGCTGGGGCGCTCTGGGGACTCCACTTGAGGTGTTTCTAACCCCCCAGTCGGGACACCAGGCTAGGGATTCCTGGACTATCTTGCTTTGCGCGCATCCTGAGCGGATTCAGCTGACTCCCTGCGTACACCCAGTACCCTGAGCCTTCTTCCAGGCTCCGTGGCTGGGACCCAAACTTGATCTACCCGGGCTGGGCCCGCGCGCGCAAGCCCCTTTCGGAAGAGGAGAAAAGAAAACTTACTGGACGGACTGCAGTTCCCTGGGCACGGGACGCTCTGGGCAGCCTCGGGGCGCTGGCCCTTCTCGGCCGGCTAGGGGAAGCCGAGTCACAGCCTCAGTGGGCATCTGAGTGCCCCGAGAGCCGACAGACCCAGAAACGGCAGAGACGCCCACAACTTTGAAAACAAATGATGGGTGTCACCGCTTCTTGCAGCCTGGGAATGTTTGGGGCTCCGTTCTCTTTCCTTCTTTATATGCTTCTCGATAAATTAAGCGGCCCTCGGGTGACAGTGACAGCATGCAGGACCTCTGGTTTTCACAAAAGTCCCAGATTCCTTCCAGGAAGCCCCCTGGCGACGCGCCAGTCCCGAGGGATCCTATTGAACTTGCGCCTCTCTTGAATTTAAAGGCTGGTGGAACTTGGGTAGGTAAGATCTGGCCAGCGTCCCAAACCTCGGTTTTCTCATCTGCGCAATGGGCTTGGGGCTCACCTCCCGGAACTTTGAGAAGGGGTCGCGAATCCCCCCCCCGTGGGAGGGCGCCTGGGAAACCAACCTCCCCCACCAACCCCCTGTCCATGCTGGAGCGCTTTCCGCGCGGCTCCGGAATGGCGGGGTTGGATCGGATGTCTCCCTCCGCCACAGCTCCGGAGCCTCCTGGCTCCTGGGCACTTGGCAATTTAGGGTCGAGGCAAATGCAGAGCAACATAATTGCTGTAATGAGCAACGGCTCGCGCGCCCTAGACCCGCCCGGCTCCGGCGAGGCGGTAGCTGCAGGCGAGGCGGGCGCTCCTATCTCACCCCCCACTCCCTGCGCTGCAGCCTGGGTAGACCCCGCCCGTTGCCCGGGGACCCCTGCCGGCCTCCATCTCTGGCTGCGCGCCCTGCGTCCGGATTTCCTTCCATTCCTTTCCTCGTTTGTTCCTTTTCTTCCATCCCTTCCTTTGCTCCACACCCCCGTGCCAGTTTTGTTTTCGAATTCCTCGGTACACCCCGCGCTGTGCACACAGAAGGCGCTCAGTAATTGTCCTTTGGAGGGGACGGCGCGCTGGTGTGGCGAAGCGCTCTGCGCCACGCAACTGGTTCCATTCTGAATTCTAATCCTGAATTCTAGCTGGGCTTGGGGACCCCTCTAACCTCACCCCTGCCCTTTGAATTCAGTTCCTAGTTAACCACCGGGGGCGGGCCAGGCCTGGGCTTTAGTGGATTCATTCCTTTCTGGAAACTAACCTCCACGGAAGTCACGGAGTCACACAGACGCGGTTACGTTTTTGCAGGAACCTGGGAAACCGCGCGCGGCCCCATCTCCCAACCACACGGACATTTTTACGGAGAAGACTGAGAGGTGGCATGGTTTTCTCCAAGTCACACAGCTAAAAAGGGCTGGAGTCGGGATTCGAACACCTGTCCGCCTGCCACTGGGATCCACGCGTCCCCCAAGCTGCGGAGCCTTGCCTAGTGTATGCACGACGGGCTCTTTGGGGCTGGGAAGGGCCAGGGGAGGGCACAGGTCTCTGGGAGGTGAGTCACCCTGGGGCGCAGCTCCGAATTTAACTCCTTCAGGCCTGGCTGGGGTGGAGCACCGGAGACAGACAGACCAACTAGTCAAGCGTCTCCCCTTTCGGCCCTGCTGTCCGGGAAGGCAGTTTCCTTTAGTTTGCGGAGAAGCCCTGGCCGGACAGTGGTGCTGGTGTCTGGGCCAGAATGGGGAGACCCAACGACCGAGGTCCAGGGGTACTCAGGTCCCAAGAAGAGGAAAGAGATCTGGGGTGCTCCGAGGTCCCCGGGACAGGGTAGGCTTGGGCTCCTTTCTCTTCTGGCAGCTGTGGTGGGGGGTGGGTGGGCTGCAGTCTCAGGTCCAGCAGGATGTCCGCTGAAGGCAGATGCAGACAATGACTCACGGGCTGGGGGCTGTGGATGAGAATCCAACCTCTGTCCAAAGGTCCTGTCTCCCACCCCCACTAACCCCCGTTCTCCCATCAGCTTAGTGGCCATTGCCGGTCTTGAGGTGAGCACAGTCCAGCTGGCCTGCGTGCCTGCGCCCTGGGGGCGCAGTGGGAAACAGAGAGCCAGGGCTGCAGCCTTCTTTCAACTTGGTGGCTGGCGTCGGCCTGACCGGGTCCCCTGGGGCTCTGGACGGCCTCTCCAATCCACTCCTGCTGGGGCCCTCCGCTGCTGAAGACCCGGACAGTCCCCAGAGCTGGACGCCTGGTGCTCCGGGAACCACCTGACCTCTGCCCAGCCCTGCAGTCCTCACCCTGGGAAGAAGAAATTCCTTCCTCTCCCTGGAAGAGGAATGGCAGTTTGATTTTTTTTTAATCATTGGATTGGGAGCTCTTACCGATATTAAAAAATCCACAATTCAATTAGACCAAGCGTAACTGCACAATTGCTGCCCCCACCTCAGAGTTCGTTTGGTTGGTTGGTTGGTTTGAATCTAGACCTACACTGCTGCACTACCCAGACTCCCCCTCGCCCCAGGACCCTCTCTTCACCAGGGCCCGCCCCCTCCCCAGCGCCCCGCCCCCCATTCCTACTATCAGCTTCACCGCTGGACGGAGGTCCCCTCCTGGTGAAGAGCTGAAGCACAGCACAACTCTTGCAAGCGTGCAAATACACACACACACACACACACACACACACACCACCATCACCAATATAATATACAAACACATTTATAACACAGAGAGATCAACACAGAGACCAAACATACACAGGAACCAACCCAGTAACATACATGCAGCCAACGTACATGTATCCCAGCAACACGTACCACTCACAAACAGAACACCCCCCCCACACACACACAATCAACACGTACACACACCCAATCAACATCCCAAAGACAGGTGGTGCACACATCAACAGACACCTAGCCACACACAACATGGACAGGCACGATGTCACATGACACAGCTTATATGTGAATGCAACCTCTCCACACCGCAGCCAGCACACACACGCATCCAGGTAAGCACACAGCCACCCCCCACCCCGCCCAGCTCTGACTCAGAGAGGCAAACACACCCCAAGCCCACCTACCAGCATCTCAACAAGAATTCGGCCCAGTAGGACCTGGTGAGGAACCGAATTGGGGTGGGGGATGGGGGTGCTGAGGGAGACAAGGTGGGGGAGAGGAAGCTGAGAGACTTGGAGACCCTGCATGAGACCAAGACCCCAGAGAGAGACGGAACAATGTCCCGTGGAGAGCCACCCCTGCCAGGCCTCTAAGACCCTAGACTCAGCGCAGGATGCATGGGAAGCCGGGCCAGCTGCCTGCCCTGGAAGACCAGCAGGCAGGCGGCGAGGCATAAGGAGCCTCACTTCCATGCCCCTGTGTGATTCCAGGTCAGTACTGATACGTAAGGCCCTTGCTTTTCCGTGGCGGCACGAGACTGCCTGGCCCCACGCGGAACTCCTGCCATCCTCTGTACCTGACGCCATGGTCTCTGTTCGGGCTCCTCAACCCCTCCGACTCCGGATAGTCTGAGAGTCTCTGGGTGTTTTCTGAGGGTTACACAGGACACCCTGCTGTTCTATAAACCCCAGTCTAGGATCTCAAATGCCTCTTGGCAGCCGCCCCCGCCCCCGCCTAGAAGGAGAAGGCGGTGCTTTGAGGGTGAGGTCCTGGGCCTGGGGTGGCCCACAGGCTCCTCCATCTGCCTGTGAATCCTGGTTTGGGAACATAAA